ATCATTTCATTTAAAAAGCATTAGCAAAGAACGCTCTCTGAAAATCCAGAAAAGGCAGAATACTCGTTCACCTCTTGCGTCTTCCTGTTGAATAGCTTCAGACCATCTACCTTTACCATCTGAAGCTGGACTTCAGCATTCTTGCAGTGAACCATGAAGGTCACTGCAATGGGTACACTTATCAAGGCAGGCTTCCAAATAGACATGACCTTGAGAATCACCGTCTATGGCAGAATAAATACTGCTCTGCAGTCCGTATAGATTTGAAGAAGTCAATTTTTATATTAGGAAATCTTGTTTCAGTAGATTTACCGTAAAAATAATCTCCCAACAGTAACTTAAATACAAGCTCTCCATGTTTGTAGTAGCAGTGATGTAAAGCAAGCCCAACACTTCAAAAGGTTTATACTTGTATAAATAACAATAGTCTAGTCTACACTTCTTAGAAAACAAACCTGGCAGCAGACACTAAACTATTGTTCTAAACTACTGACTTGCAGTTAGTGAATGCTGTATTATTCAGTGTCATTCCTTCAGGTTAAGTCACAGGGTTCTCTAATATTCCAGTGCTTCTATACCCTTCGCAAATACCAGCACGAAGGATCTTTGAACATCAGTATACTAGAAACTGTTAGGGATGACAGATGTATGGGCCTTGTAAAGCCTGTCATTATGGGCCTTGGCTGGGGAAGACAATAGTTAATAATATCAAGAACGATTTCACCCTTTTCAACTTTTCTGAAATATCTTTCTTCAACTTTTCCTCTGCAGAGACTTGGAGCAAAAACTGACCAGACAGGAATTTGTGTCCCATGAGACTGGTTTCCAGTTCTACAGATGAGACAGCAAGAGAGTAAAAGCTCACACAATTTTTCCACACAACACCAGTCTGTTAAGTAGAAACAACTTGCTAACTATTTTTTGTTCCACTCCCATGCCTCTCTAAAGCTACTATTTAATTTTAGCTCATTTATCAGGCCCAAATACATTAACATACATGTTGAAGCTTAGCAAGGTGCAAGTAAAAATAAACAACAAAAAACCCCAACAAAACACACTGTAGGAAGTATAACCCTAACTGAGCTTTGTCACGCTGACAGAAATTAAGGTGACCAACCAGAAAACACAGGAGGTGAAACAGCTTCAAAAGCATGTAATTAGCAATGCTCAGAGCAGGGGTCAGAGCCATCTTGATTAAGTAATGCATCTCTTGGCTGGTTATATCCTTATATGGAAGGGGATAACTTCATATTTGCAAGCTACATTTATTTTCCCTGGAAACAGTTAATTTAGAGTTAACAGTATCCAGCTACTTTACACAAAGTGATTTTATTAGACTGTTAAAATAACAGAGGAAGAGTTGTGTCCAAGGCAGCATTCCCTCAGTTTTTAACCTTTGTTGATACTGAGGTTCCAATATACAGACTCCCTGAACACACTTTGGAAACTTATTTCTGAGTTAGGTAAAACTCCTCCGTAGCTGCCCAGCCATTTGCTAATGATCTACAGAGTACAATAAATCTTTAAATTAATAACAAAAAACAAAACTTGTTTTCATTCCTTGCCAATCTATTCAGAACACATACATTTCTCACTGCTGTCCTATTTGGCTTATGTGTCTTATCTGCATCTCGTTGCTCTTTATTCACTTACTTCCTCATGCAGTCAATAGTTTTGGTAAAGTTCTTTCTGTCTAAAGTGACATACTATTTCTCCAAAGTAGCCTCAGTTCCCAGCCCATATCTGGCCCCAGCTCCTGAGCAGGTCAGCAATGAGAACAGTGAAATGCCAAGCTGGAGAGAAGCGATGCAATTCTGTGCTGCACACACATCCTTTCCTCTGATGCATCACCACAGCAGTACAAAGCTAGCAGTCATTTCCACCAGTCATACCTTCCACAAGCCCATTCCTGCCGGCTTTCCATCTCACACTGAAGAGGAGCAACTGTTGAAACGTAACAAATTATGCCAAAAGGTGCAAAGTGTCCTAGCATTCAAGAAGTTTGGCACTGCTACAGCCTTTATTGCTTGTAACTTTGATAAGCCACACCACAGGCACAGAGCAGCACCATCAAAGCAACACGTAACTTAAGTGGGGGTTAACTTTTCTAACATTTCCTCTACCAAGGAAAAGGTGTTTTAGCCCAACATCCCAGCAAGACAGAGGAAGTAGCTTCCCCCGTATCTTTAACCTGGGACATTTAAAAAACAAACAAGAAAAAAAAAACAAACAAAAACCAACCCAACTTTATCTCCCTCCCCAACCCATGTATTTAAAAAGAAACAGGTTAGAAAGCTAAATGATACACACAAAACCCAGAAAACAAAAAAAAAAAAAGTGAAGATTGCCTTATTTTAATTTGAGTGAACAGCTGTGCTCACATTCATGAATCCTAATATTCTTTAAAACGACTAGTCATTTTTCACAAGCTTGCCTGTTACCTGTGTGACCTCAGGTATTGCTCCCTGCAGTCTATTCATACACAATCCTGGAATTAGAATTCTTTTTTTTCCTTCAGCACAGTATTTACATGCTACTTAATCATTAACTTACTTTCCACTACTATCCTCATTTTACCTTGCAAGAATTGCTGCAAAGAGAATACATCAGTTTTTGGTGCTCAAAGCCTGATTTTCCAAAGTATGCGACATGACAGCAGGTTTCATGTGGTCAAGGCACAGTACCTGCTCAGCTGCACATCAGACATTCCACAGATCAGGTCCAAGGACATAAACAGCTCAGGAAATACAACAGTGAAGTCTGGTAGAAGCTTGTCCCATCACACAAATTAAACCAGTTCTTAAAGACAGCACTTAGCTACCTTAATTATGAATGAGAAAACTCCCACAGTTCTACTTTGCCATCCAGTTTTTGCCAGCATTGGAGCTCATGATCTAAACTCTAATTTAGTCTTCAGAAAAGTCCAGTTCAGGCTAACAGAAGAAAACCTAGTCTTATGGGGAAGAACAGCATGCAATCATTCAAGTAAAAACAGTACTGAAAACATTTATATAAAGGAAGTGAAGCAAGATTGCACAGCAACCTCTGTGCTGGATCAACATGCACGTAACTCAGAGGTATTGTTTGAAGGATGGAGAAAGGTTCTGGGTTTTGCGGTTTTTTTTCCCCCTCTTTTACAAGGAGGAAAGAACTAAAATGAAAACAAATTCCACTGTGCGGCATCATATTTACACCTCCAGGGATAGCAGCAATGAGTCTTAGACCACATGGCTCCACTACAGAGATTTCTGAAGTGCCTGAGCCACAATATGCTTCACCTGCTCCACAGGTTGCAGCTGAAGGAAATGAAGTAGATGCTTTACCAGTGAATCTCTGCACTCTGCTTCTGAACTTGAGCCACTTTGCCCGTAGCTACCTTTAACACTGCACTGCTCTGCAAATTACGAGTACAAAATAGGATGACACATGACAGTGGTTGCAATGGTCTAGGTAATGGAAACTGGCTATGTGCCATCAGAGAACAACTTTTTTATTTTATATGAAGTCAAACGTAAATCAGTCTCAGCTGATATACAATGTTACTATTTCCAGATACATAAATACTGGAAACACCTCCAAAACAAAAAAAAAACCACAAAACCAAAGCAACACCAAAAAGCAACCCACCACTCTCTCTTGCTTCAACTTCTCAGAATACAACAGCCATTTAATAGGTAATTTTACACAACTGAGAGAAATCCAGCAATACTGACAATTTCTTCAAAGCTGTCACAGAAATAACCTCCCCACATGTAACCTGTGAGAGCAGACCTACCAAGCTTGACAGATTCACAGGAAAATCAAGACAAGAGGTGGCTATCATAAGTAAATGCTTGGATTTATTTCCTGAAGCTGGTAGCAGATCATGTGAGGTAATGCCATGACACCACCACCAAGAACTTACCCAGCCTTTCACTTCAACAGCAAACAACTGTGGGACTATTTACCTCTTGAGCTCTTTGCACTGCTAGCCTGCCTTTACAGGGAAAATGGGGGCACATAAAAGCACATCTTCCAGGGCTGCTTCTCTAGTGTGGAGAAGAGGTAATAAAATTAGCACCAGCCTTAAAAACATTTACATTACTTGAGACAGTGCAGTGTGATAACCTTCAGAAAGTATCACTACGTTAGGAATATGTACTTCAGTAAATAATTCCATTAGTTGTTCAATCTCAGTTTTACAAGTTTATGCCCAACTTAATCCTGGATTTGCCTACCCACAAACCGAGGAGCCTTGTGCCCACGCTGTTCCCTTCTTGCTCACGAAAAAATACTTCATAAAGCATAGAAAAGATAGCCCTACTTTCATGTATTAACGGCTGCACTGAAGACAAAGGTCCAGACACACAGGGTCCTGCAGCAAGTAGCAAGCATTCACCGAAAAAGAGAACAGCCTAAGTAGAGACGATCCTTCAACGGTGTTAACCACCTGCTTTACAACAACTAACAGCTTCGGGCCATCCCGAACTGGAAACTACACCCAGACCACTGTGCTAAAAAGCCGTTATGCCTCTCAGCACATTGTCAAAACAATTTCAGACAATTTATAGCCTCGCTTTCCACACCACCACCTCGTACTGGCGCTCACGTCTAAAACGCGTGCGATGCGAGAAGTATTTCTGCACCCTTCAACCTCTGTACTACCTGGTATCTCCATCCAGCCACCGCTCCCCACAACCGCGGCTCAGCCCATCTGTTCCGGCCGCACTCCCAGAAGCGGCCCGTCAGCAGCGCCGCTCCCCACAGCCCCCGGCGCGGCCCGCAGCTTCCCGACATACCCTGTCAGCACCAGCACCGGCACCGACAACGGGACGGTTCGCCACCGACACACAACACACCGGCGCCCCCCACCCCGAGGGCCCGCCTAGCACCTGCCACCGGGCCCTGAGGGGAGCAACCGCTGTCCTCAACCAGGGAGAGCCAGCGACCGCTCGACCCCACCTCACCTCCGCGTCGTTGTCCCCCCCTCAGCGGCCCCGCAGGCGCCGCACCACACCTACCCGTCGGGGCAGCGCCCCGTCCCATGCCGAAGCCTCTGCTCCCGCCGCTGGGCACGCTCTCACCGCCCGCCCCGTCCAGCCCCTTCCGCGCAGCTGGGGGGACCCCGCCCCAGAGGCGCGGCGGGAGGGCCGCGGGCGTTCAGGTCGAGGCCGGGCTATGAGGGGGCGGCGGCGGAATGGCGCTGCCCGCGCTGAGGGGAGAGGAGAAGGAGGAGGCGGGAGAACGCCGCTCCCCCCGCGCGCGTGCATGCGCCTTGCTCCGCCCCTCCTTCTCCCCACAGCCGCCGGGTGTGAGGAGGGGAGCGCGATGGGGGCCCTTCGCCTGAGCGCCTGTACCACAGCGCCGGCCGGGCGGGACCCCGGTGTACCGGGACTTAGCGTCCTCGGGCGGTGGCTTGTGTTGTGTCTCGGCCACTCGGGAAATCCGGCAATACACCGTTGCTTCATCTGTTGGCTTCATCGGGTTTTCAGCCTCCTTTGGCTGGAGGCCATTAGTAGTGTCCGCCAGCAAAGCAGCGTGATGAGTGCCTCCGAGAAAAGGTAAAAATTAGAAAAATTAAGAGGCAAAAAAGCCAAAATGCAATTGGAAGGGCCTCAATGGCGAGGCCCCGAGTGGTGCTTGTGTTGACAGTGTGTTTTGCTACGCTGCAGGTCGTGGTTTTACGTTGCAACTCCCAGTACTGCAGGAGGAGGTGCCCAGCGACACCGGAACACAGCTGCAGGTAAGCCTTGTGATGTTTAGGCCAACCTCACAAGCTCTTGCTTAGTTGCAGCAGCCTCTTTCTTCAGTCGCACACATGCACACCAACGTGCTACCCCATGCTCCCTCGCAGCTTACACGGACACCTTAAAATCCCAGCTGGAACGCAACAGGTATGTCTCCTGTGCCTCCATTTTATATTCCTCTTCTTCACCAACATGTACACTACTGCCTCCTAGCACTTCTCCCTCATACATTCCTTCTCAGCCACGCTATTCCTCCCCAAAAGTCTGAAACAGATGTCTCCTTTTTGCTATTCCTCTTCATTTTAGTATCTTCTAAATGTGCTGGAAATCCTTTAATATCTTCTAAAAGCGTCACAAAGCACTTGGGAGGAAAATCTCCAAGAACATCTTTCATTCTGTTCTGGGAGACGAGGGAAGCAATCCTGTCATCCACTGCCCCTTAGGATGCCTTTCATTCTTCCTCTTTTCTCTGGAGAGGAAATCTTAATTACTTCCACATCACTAAATTATCATAGTTAACTCAAGAAAAAATCATTACTTGTCAGGCCAAAAAGGCAAATACCTCCTATCCAAAGCATCCACTGATCTGCTGGGACTCTTCCCTCTTGGCCTCACAGTTCCTTCACCTGTTGCGCAGGACAGGGTGTGCATTTGGTCACATCCAAGAAGTGAGGGTCCTCTGCTGGAGGACGGGACATGCAAAGATAAGAGACCTGCATGAGCAGTTCTGGCCAAGGGACTATGACTGCAAAGCCCAATCCATAGCTAGACAATGGAGTGGAAGAGGACTGCGCTTCAGTCACAGGGGTGAAGGACCTTCACATTCTTGAAGGACTGGACAGAATTACAGTAACACAGTTAAACATTAACTTGCTGCTACTTACCCTGTAAATAGTAGCACGGCTACTAGAAAAAGCCAACTAACCAAACAACCCTTACAGACTTTACTGTGTACCAATTTACTTGGGATAAGTGGCACATGGAGTATGAGAAATGAGGCAAGCTAACAAATCCGGGAATTAAAATTGCAGTATCATCTTATCTTGACTGACTGGAGATGAATTTGGGTAGGCAGGAGAAGCATCTGCTCCCTGAGATAGCATATGTTGGGGAGGGTGATTTCCAGAGACTCATGGACCTTTTCTGTCTTTCACCCATTCCCTTTCAGCAAGTCTGAGATGTAAATTGGAGGGGCTGCGGCTGTCTCCCAGAGAACCTGTAAAACCTTCCCAGCAGATGTGTGGGGCTGACCAGATTCTCACAGCACACCCAGGTGGGTGTCAGCAAAATTAGTGAACGAGTTTCATGCACCCAGGACTGCTCCTGTGTATGCTTTTACCCTGGAGACCCTGTGTGTGTGTGTGTGTGTGTGTGTGTGTGTGTGTGTGTGTGTGTGTGTTAAAAGCCAGAGGAACTTTCCCCTTCACTTCAGCTGGGCTTGGATGAGAGTCCCAAAGAACACACAGTAACCTGAGATTGTGAAATTATGACATGTATCAGAGAACACTCATATTTTCTTAGTATCAAAAGGGGGATCATTATGTAATACTTGCTATGGTAGGGGAACAGGAATGTTTGCTTGGTTTCATGATTACAGGGTAAGCAGTAGCAAGTTCATGCTTAATTATGTTCTTGTAATTTTGCTCCATCCCTCAAGACTGCTTCAGAAAACCCAAAACCAGCAAACCAGAACAGTGGAAAATATCTGGAGTGGGTTTATTTTGTGACACACAGGTACCACCCTATGATCCAGTTCACTGCCCTTAAAACCAAAGAAACCACTGCTTTCCAAATGAGGGAGCCTGACATTCTGTGAGTAAAATGGGAGATGCCTGATTTTTTTGCCCTGTGTTGTGCCCCATTGCCCTGGTAAAGGTATTGACTGCTCCTGTCCTATGTTAGGAAGTTACAAGAAGCCAGTGCTTGAATATGCTGAAAATATGCTTGCTTAGTGCTGAAGTGGCAGGACAAACACTGAAGGAATGCCATGTCCTTTGCAAGCCCAAAGCCTGCCTTTTATTGGCACAAATGCCAGGCAAAAGCATGCACAGCTACTGCTTGCTCTGTTGCTGCTCCACCAACATCTTTGCTCGTTGTTCTTGTGCCATGCAATGAGAACCAAGTGAAGCCTTGCAGCTTCCCTGCTAAGCTGGCAGGTAGTGTGGGCTGCACTCACCGGCTGTGCCTGCGGAGAGAGCTGCGTGGTGGTTTGCGAGCTAAGCAGCGTTCCCTCTGCGGGACCCCCTGCCCCGTTGCAGAAGGCATCGCGGGTTCGCGAAGCTCGGTTGCGTGTAACAGGCGTTTCTGACCGATTACGGTTCGTTGTGCCGGGGCAGTTCCCCCCTCCCCTTTGTGCAAGTCCCACCTGCCAGCGGTGTGACTCTTCCCCGCGGCTGTTAGGGAGAGAGACGGGGAGCTCAGCGCTACATTCCCTAGGCCAGCGTGACAGCCGGCGAGCTTGGGGCGGCTTTGGCGGGCCTGGGCACCCGAGGCCGTGGCTTCTACACGGGCTGGGGGGACCGGTCTCACCTACCGAGCTCTGCCACGGTGCCGGCACCGGGGAGGGCGGTGGTTCGTGACGTAGTTGGTGACGAGAGTGGTGACGAGGTAGGCGCGCGCGGCGCGTGCGCGGTGGCGGGGCGGCGGCGATGAAGGTGGCGGTCGCGGGGTGCTGCCATGGCGCCCTGGACAAGATGTACGAGACACTGGAGCTGCTGCAGCGGCGGCACAATGTGCGGCCCGACCTCCTGCTCTGCTGCGGCGACTTCCAGGCCGTGCGCAACGAGGCCGACCTGCACTGCATGGCTGTGCCCGCCAAGTACCGCCATATGCAGACCTTCTACCGGTGAGCGCCGCCCGGCCTGGCCTCGTCCCACCGGGGCCCGACACGGCCCACCCTGCTACAGCATCTGTCGTTTCTCCTCAGGTACTACTCCGGCGAGAAGAAGGCCCCGGTCCTCACGGTGTTCATTGGTGGGAACCACGAGGCATCCAACCACTTGCAGGAGCTGCCCTACGGCGGGTGGGTGGCGCCCAACATCTACTACCTCGGTAGGGTTTCCCAGAGCCGTTTTCCCCCCAGCCCTTCGCCCTGCCCCATCTCCGCCGTGACAAGCCGCGCTCCCGTCTCTCCTAGGTTACGCGGGTGTTGTGCGGTATCGCGGAGTGAGGATTGGCGGCATCTCCGGCATCTTCAAGTCGCACGACTACCGGAAAGGTATGGCTGGACAGAGCGGGCCTCGCTGAGTGGGTAGCCGGGAGGGAAGCACTAGGCCCGAGCTGTCATGTGTGGGTCTGTCTGTGCCTCCTCTCTTCTAGACTGACTCTTATGATGGAAGCCTTTCTTGGCTCAACACACAGATTTTTCCGGAGGTGGTAGATGAGTCGGTAGCTGTGTGGTGACACAGCAGGAAGCAATGCACCTTTTAAATGTTGTTGTTGGAATAGTCTTGTTTTTTCTATGGTAGTGACCTTTTAGCATGCAATACAAGACTGTTTCGTTTTCCTTGTGTGAAACAGTCAATTAATAAGTATGATATTGTACAAATGGACTGAGGCTTAGTGTTGGTGCATCTCGGGATTGGTTCCTCCTGGTTATATGTATGTATATTCAAGTTATTCCTTGGAAGGGTCTCCATCATTGTACAGATGATATCTGGTATCACCTAGAAGATATCTAGCTGAATCATAGATTCATATCTAGCTGATATGAATCTATACATTCATATCAAATAGAAGATAGTTTAGCCTTTCTGATCTCCTCAACACATTAAATAGTACTCTCTTACTTACGATTTCTTGTCCAGTAATATTATGTTTAGTAATACAGTGCTTCAGAGAAAACATGATTCTGTCAGATATTTGTTAATGCTACCTAAATTTGTTATCAAGCATACCTGCTTGATATGCTGGGTGTTGCATGGGGAAATTAGGCTTTGTCGACAATAGTGCTGACTACTAGAAAAGGAATTTTTCTGTTCATTCTTAAGAGTCCATGGGAGCTCTGGTAGGCATTCGGGTTTCTTGTCCTGAGGGAAAGTTGGAGACTCCGTCTCTTTTGGCAGGGTATGTGTTTGCACTTCCAGATCCTGTGGTGCCTGTGGGCAATTACAGACATGTACAAACTGCTGCTGAATCTGTTAAGATGTAGTTTCATGATTGACAGTAGCAATCTTGAAGAAACACGAAAAGATCACAGCCTCAGTGGCCTGAGTCAGTACTCATGCATTGCTTTGTGATCTTTTGGTTTCTACCTCTTTTTGAGTTGTTAGGTCCTAAGTTATGTTCTGGTCACTAACCACTCACAGAGGCTTGCTGTGTGCAACACCTGCTGGTGTAAGCCTTGTGTAAAGGAAATACAGTGTCTCCTTTGATTGGCAGCCTTGTATTTGGGATTGCTCTAGGTGT